CGAGAAAAATATAAATTAAGAAAAAAATATTAACTGCTTAACAGAAATGTGTCAAATATCATTTTCCTTTTAGAACATTTTGTTTAAGTTTACCTCGATGAGAAGTTGACCACTGGAGGCAGCAGTAGGTCAGCAGTTCCTGTGTACCTGGAAAAATTACGTATTCTTCAACAAATTTTGGTCCAAAATCTCGACATTAAATCTTTTCATCTAAAAAAATTTAAAATAGTGGATTAATAATTACTGTAGATTTTTTTGTCTTCTTACCCCCTTAGCCCATATTCATTAATGACGTTATCATCACTATATAAATGTTTATGTATATATGTATGTATAAGTACATACATACAGTATATACATAAACATATACAGTATATATACATAAACATATATTTACATGTAAGTATATATATGTTTTGTTATTGTTTTTCGGCCGTTTTGTTTGTATGTGTGAAAGGTTGTTGTGCTTCTTCTCTTTTCTCCATCTCCACACAAAAAAAATAACAATTAGTGTATAATAAATACTTGCCTGCAATCATTTTTAGTTTAATTTTTTTTTCATTTTTGACACCTGTGATTGCGAAAAAAAAACGTATTTAGATTTTTACCCCAGTGACACAGACTGCTGACACCACTCCTGTGTCCTATTCCGCAACGAACGCTAATTTTCTCTTTGTCCTTTGTAATAAGCAAGTTAGAGTTAATGCTGTTACACACTAGCAGTGAGGGCTTTTTGTTTTGTGATACACTTCAAATCATCTTGTAACAAAAATCTTGTTTGTCCTAAATGACGGCGCATTAGTTGAGAGAATAAGGTTAACGTAACCCCGAAAAGGACTAATTAGTGAAATCCAATCCATCCCGTCTACCCTTGATGAACACATACAAAAGGTAAAACCTTGTGACCTCCACCTTCGTGCTCCCCCCTTATGTAGAGTCAGGCCCAGAGTCGCCTGTTTGCTCTTTGACCCACTTATATTTCCCATATCAGAAGGCATGTAAACCGGAACATAGAAAGCTAATACTGTGGTTTGTTTTACTGCAGCCCATGCATCATTAATGCACACAGAAGACTGCTCCCTGCAGGTAAGCAGATCTCTCAGAGAGAGGCATGGAAGCCGAGTGAGAGAGAGAGAGAGAGAGAGGGGACAACTCACTCACAAATATTCTGAAAAATCAATTTTCCATTTTCAAAACCCAGTGGCAGTAGAGCTCTAAAGACCAGCGATTCCCAGTGTGCCATGAGAGATCTCCAGGTGGGATGTGGAAAATGATCCAATTTCATTTAACTGAGTCTGATAACTATCAATTATTTAACTTAAATCATTTGTCTTCCTTCATCTGTGCGACGGTGACAGGCAGAACAATTAACAATTTTCTTCCCGTGTGTCCCCTTCAATTCCTGTATAGCAGCCGTGTGTTCAACTAAACATGCACAGGGTTAGCACTGAGGAAGTAAATGTTAGTGAATTGAATTTAGAACAACCTTATGGTTCATTGTTGGTCATTGTTGCGTCATTTGTGAAATACATTCCCACTTAAATGGTCCCAGGAGTTTCTGGATAACTGCTGAGGTCAAGGGGTCAAATCTGTACTAAAGACTGCAAACACCCAGGTCACAAAATAATAATAATAGCAGTAAACTTTTGTTATAGGTAGATCGATCCACAATGTCAGAGTACTGTGAAGTAAAATTACTACAGTATTTGTCTGATTGGACTTTTGTGTTGTAAGGTAAGACTATACACAACTGCGCAACCTACACGTTTGGGATGTTCATAAAACAACAAATACACTTTTGTTTTTGTAGATGCAATACACTCACCTCATGCAGTTGTACGCAGAGGAACGATTTCTCGTTAAAGTTACTGTTCTTAGAATGGCGATCTTTTCACCCATAACAGCTCTAGCTATTATTTTAAAAAAAAAATCACAGACGAATCAGGGCACTATTGTACATCATGACAGACAGGGCCAAACCAGCAACTACACACAATCTCGGGCCTACAGCGAGTCAGAGTGTGTTATTATTAGACCCACGCAGCAGGTGCTGTCACTCTGTCGGCCGCTCATCGCCAATTACGCAGCTCCGCAGGTGCGGGCAGCGGAAAATGAATCCAGCATCACCCCTTTATTCTGCGCCTGTACTTTGACCTTTACCCCGAACACAATACATGTGCACAAATACACACACAAACATGGAAAATATGTCCGGGTCAACATCCATCCTCTGGCTGTGAGTGACTCAGAGCTTCAGCTGCGTCACTCCCCACCTGGAGCTGCAACAATGAGTCGGGCAGAAGTTGTTAGAAGGTAAGATATAAATATGAGGGAATGACTTCACAAAAGCAAATGATTACGCACATATGTCGTATATATAAAAAACGTAATTCACTGCAAACCATACAACATGTGTCAAAATGGCTGTAGCGACCTCACAGAACAGTCTCTTCTCAGTCAGCACACCGTGTCTCCTGCATTAAGGCTAATGTTGGATGTCACTAGCCATCAATCACAAATGCTAGTCATGGTCGGTGCATGCTTTGTCCCCTACATTGTTTTTTGGTGAAAAATGGAACTTTTTACAAGCATATAAATAAAGTGTAGTATCACAGGAAATACTAGCAAGTAAGAAACCCAAAGCTAGCGACACAACATTTTTTCCTCATCTTCAGATGGTACTATATCACAGCTACCTTCAAAAATAGTTTTAACAAACGTTATGTTGTATCAGACGGAACGGATACTTTGCTGCCATCTAGTGATACTACATATTAAATCTACAGGGGGGGTCCTCAACTTATGTCAGATTTAACTCCGTTTTTACATACCGTCCATAAGTAGCTACGTCACTTACATATGCTAATACAATGGTAACATCATATTCTAGAATAGGCATGGACAATCTACGGCCCGGGGGCCAAATGTGGGCCGTTTAGCTTTGAATGAATGAATGTAAACAAAGCCGTGTTCAGCGTATAGCGCAGGTAGACGACGTATTTGTATTTGTTGTTTGGACGCCGTACGTCAGAATGATGGAACAACACTATCTTGATAAATTTATAAGAGATGGCGACGTAACCGAAGATATCGTAAATCATACGGAAGGGGAACTAATGTTTGGAAATAAAGTTAGGATAGGAAAGGTGAAAATGTTTGGACACATGCTCAGGAAAAGCAGTTAGGATATTGGACGGAAATATTTGTTGGGACTGGCGCTCATGGACAGCAGGTAAAAGAGGAAGAAGGTTCGTGGGATGGTGAAGGTAAGAACATATGGCAACGGACAGAGAAAGAAGAAGAAAAAGGATTTTGCTTCTACATGTCGTTTCGCTACTGAAAAATACATTTGGTATTTTCAAAAAAGAATCCTTCAAAGACATACGTATGGAATACTGGAGTAGATGTTACTCGTCTGCTGAGGTTCTGTTGTACAAAAGTTGGGTTTTAAGACCTAGAAGTTTCAGCCACAAAAGGTCTAAGAGGAGCACAGTCTCTAAAGGGACAAGAGTAGCCTCTAGTTTTCATTTAGACATTAGCAAGAAAGTCGTTTTAATCGTCAGCTAACACGCCATTGTTATTGCTACTTCTTCTACTTCGTCCACCAACACAACAGGCTCTGATGCAGCTACGCACAAACACGTACCGTACGTAGAGACTAAGGTTAACCCACATTTCCGTGTATAGTAAGCGGGTTATCTGATCCACACCGGCGGAGACTTGTAGTACTACAGTATCAACACACTACAGTATCAACACACTTGAGTGTCAAAACACACTCGTCTTCAGTTACAGCACAGCCTGAAATCCTGTTCCTCACGTTTCAAACCGCCACTCGTCACCGAGTTAACGTGACAGAAGGGATTTACAGTGACCTAACGTGTACCGTTTTTTTTGTGCTTGTCTGTGTGTATTTGAACATGTATTTAAACATCAGTCATATTTTTAGATTTTTTTTGGGGAGGGGGGGTTCACCTACTGCATGTATGCACATGCTACAATGTAGACCAATGCAAAAAAATCTCTGGTTGCGTCCCAGGTCTTTTTTAATCACTAGACCTAGTCTGGTGGTTCCCAACCTTTCTTGGCTGGACCTCATGTTGACATCACAGATTTCTGGCCACCCCTGGAATTCATTTTTGATCATGTTTGTTAAACTCAAACGTTGAAAATACTTTAAATAATTAGTTGAAAAAGTATGTTATCGGTAATAATTACTAGACATTTCAGGCGACCCAATTTGAATTCCAGGTGTCCCCCATGTGGGGTTGCGCCCCCAAGGTTGTCTTAGAACGACATGTGGGGTAAGGTGTGCTATGCAAGCTGAAATCCAGCTTAACGTCAAACCTTTTTAGGAGAAAATTAAAACATTTACATTTAATGTTGTCGCCCACGTGAAATTGAATTAAACAAAAAAATGTTTATGCAGGATGAACACAATGATGAACTATTAACGAAACTGAACCGAGAGATAATATATCAGGAGGATGGTGAAAATGTATCAGTTTTGCGTCCACCATAGTTAAGAAAAAAAAAAGAGGGATCAAAACATCGTGAACATTTTTGTTAAGGTGGAACTTGAAGGAGAACCCTTCCAGGAACAGGAACTGTGCATAAACACAGAGGAGCCTTAGAATAAAAGCCTTGTCTACAAGATCAGTGTGCTTGTTTTCAATGAGGTCCGACGAAAACCCAACTGCATTTAAAACTGAGTTTGAAGCTTTAAAAACATAATATTAAGGCACGTACACAAACACACACACACACACACACACACACACGCACACGTCTTCTCAAGTGTCACTTCTTTTTTTTTCCTTCTGCATTTAACACACCGACATGATCTTTAACTTTCCCCACTTGGGAGGCAGAGTCAATGTCACATTAACCACCGCTGTGTCAGAACATTCCTGTCTAGAACAATCACGACCTTCTTCTGCGCAGACTTGGATCCTCAGCGTTGAACTCCAGCCGTACTTTCTCGCCTCCCCCCCCCCCCCCCCCCCCTCCTCCCTCTCTTTGATTTCCTCCCTTTTCTGTCTTTGGCAGCATGTCTGGACCCAGTGTGGGAGGAAACGAAGGCCGGCGCCTCATATGCGTCCGTTGCTGTGCGTGCTGCTGCGGCGACCAGACTGAGGATGTGAGGAGTAGTGGATCTCGGCGGAGGACGAGGAGTTGATGTTGGAGGAGGAGGAGGTGAGTCCACAGGCTTCACAGGCCAGAGCCAGCTGCCTCAGAGCGTCCAAGGATTCCATCTTAGCGCCGCGTAACAGGTCGCTCTGACCCTGTGGGACACAGGAGATGTTCTCCGGGGGGGCAAGTCCAACATTTCTGCGACTGTCAACCATTTTTGTTTGACTAACCTTCAGGACAGTGATGTTCCAGGTAAAGCTCTCCACAGATTTACCTAGCTTACGTCCCTTCAGTCCTTCCTTCTCCCCGAGCCGAGAAAGCTCCTCATGGAAGTCCATGCCTGGTGAAGACAGAACAGCAGCGGTGTGTGGTCAGGGATTAAATGTTGTTTTCTTCACTGACTTTTTTTTTTAGTAACTATTTCCTTTATTTCCTTTTGGCCTCTTATTGTTTTGTTTTGGTCCTTTTTTAAAAGAAAACTTTTTCTGGGTTTCTGGGCTAATAAACATCATCATTGTTGATTGGAATCTTTAGCCAAATTAGTTGACCTCCTTGTTGATATTTTTTGGCTTATTTTATTTTTTTGTCTATCATTTTTTTGTAATTTTTATTTATTCCCTGATCGACTTTTCGAAGTGTGCCGTCGCTGAAATGCTCGAACGATAAACAAGCCTCCAGTCACTAGGTGGCAGCAATTCATACAGTGGTTTGTAAAGATAAGAAAAATACATATTATTTTGTTTTGAATAGTATTTCAATTTAAGGGGGCGGCGTGCAAAAACGTTCTGTCCACTAGGGGGGGCATGACAGAAAGTAATCGAGAAACAAGGCTGTAAATGGTGTGTATATATATTTATATATATTTAATATGGTCTATATTAAAAATTGTTATTGTCCTAAGGCACAGAGGAATAGGATAGAATAGATGTTATTAAAACAGAAAAACAACTGCCTTTTTCGCTAATTATAAATCCACACTGACGAATATGTGGAAGAGACATGAAACAACACTACAACTAATGGGGACATTCTTTCAACTGACAAGTTGTTTACTGACGGACTCTTCCTCAGAGGAGTCGCCTCCTTCGGTTTACGCTGAGCTCTTTGATGAGAGAGGCAGACGAGCATCTCATTTCATTATTAGAAATATTCCGTCTGTGTTGTTTATCCGGACAGATGACGGAGAGCAGCTGCATGAGGACTAATATGGAGAACCCTCAGGGACTGGATGTTTTTCCAGAACGCTCCTGTATTAGGTAAACGTCAACCACAGTCGCAGTCAGTCATCGATCTGAATCGGCGCGCCATACCTTCCCTCTGAACCTGGTCGATGCGCTCCTGAACGTAATCTGCATTCTCAATCAGCTGTTTCTGCGAGGCGATCATCTGAACACAGAGAGAGGGAGGAAGAGAGTTAATGATCAACACGACACATGGCAGAAATTTTAAATGACTGTTGACTATTTATTGAAATTTAAAACACTTAAATTGGCTGTGGGTAATAATTATATATATATATATATACATATATATGTGTGTATATATATATATACGTATATATATACACACATATATATGTATATATATACGTATATATATATATATTTACATATATACAAATATATGTATATATATATACATATACGTATATATATATACATATACGTATATATATATATATGTGTGTATATATATTTATATATATATATATATAAAATATATGACCACTACAGGTAATATGATATAAATATCAAATACAATGCAGTGAAGAAGAGAAAAAAAAGTGGTGAAAATTATATATATATATAAAAAAAAGAATTTTTAATTTCCATCCACACAGTCTTTTCTATTTTTTATTCTATTTTTTCATCCAGCCACAAACCTTTCCAGTTCCATAAATTACCACTGGAACTGTTTTTTTTTTTGTCTTTTGTTTTCATTCAGTTCATTTTAGCACGAAGTAAAACATGGATAAAAGCTGCAGAAAAAAACACAATGAGGAGCTGCACTCTTACACATTCACCGTGATCACAAAGACGCAGCGATGCGTTAGCAACCTCGCACGCACATGCGTGTCTGCGCGTGTGATTGTGTAGGTGTGGCAGCTTCGGTGGTGTAACAGGTGGGGAAGAGAAGACGAGATGTGGAGGAGGAGGTAAACTGGTCGCTTATGTACTTTTTTACTCAACAGAGCGATGAACAGTGATCACATTATTGAGCCACAATGGTCGTTGCGTGTAGATGTTGGGAAAACTTTCAGTCAGATTTTCCTCAGTGATGATGCGAACTGACGATAAAACGCAAGAAATCGCACTGCGGTGTGAGAGAAAAACAGAAAATGGAAGCAGAGGCAGCCGAGTGGCTGTGCGTGGGTTATTAGTATGTGTGTGAGGGACTGTTTCATTCATATGGCCTCAGACAGTCTCACTGCATATTTAATGCCTTGGCATCAGACCCCTCTGTCACGCTGTCATTTCACGTAGGTGTGCCCAGGATCAGAGGCTTAGCTTAGACACTTAGCTAACGAGTACATTTTATCAAAAAAAAAAAAAAACAATAATGTTGTACCAGCACAAACGTAGTAATGTGACTTTAGCTAACCGTGTCGTAGGCAGCTAGCACTTTGCGAGTGGGCTCCGACAGGTTGACCAGGGGCTCCAGACAGGGGTAGCCGTCTTTCAACACCATCGCGGCGCCGATGGAGCCCTCCGGGCTCTGCAGTCTGGTGGCCAGACTCTGGATGCACTGCTTCAGCTTGGCCACTGTGGGGAGCCCACACTGTTCTTTGAAGCTGGCGGTGGTGCTCTGGAGAGAGAGAAAGAGAGATGTGAGGAGAAGGACCAGAGAAAAGAAGAGATAGAGTCAGATCAGATGTATGGTTCCTTGTTGGAAAAGGTGAGAAAAGATCACGCACACACACGCACACACTGCCATCTGTATTTCAATAGGAGCAGTACGGCAGTAATTGCTGCTTTTAATCCTTTGACATCACCGTTAGCTTAAACACTTGGCAAAAAAAAAAAAAAAATGATAATGTGGTATAAAAATGGAGCAGGAAAATTACCGCAATTAGTCCCCCCCCCCGACCCCACCTCCACCCTAACTGCAGCAGCAGGTGTGTGAGGAAGATGGGGAAAAAAACTAGGTTACGTGATCAAAAAAGATTTCTGCTGCCAAAGTTTCCGTTTGGGTCATTTCTAAAGAGGTCAGGTCCAGATTTGTGTCAAATGAAGCCGCACAGCCTAGGCAACAACTGTAACCTTAGACCAGCGGTGTCAAACTCATTTCCACCAGGGGGCGACATCATCAATACAGTTCCCCTTGAAGGGCCGGTTGTACATGGAAGACTGTATAGATCAGGGGTCCTCAACCCACGGTCCGCGGGCCAGTACCAGTCCATAGGTCATTTGGTGCCGGGCCGCAGTGGGACACAGTGAAAAAGTGTACTTAATTTTTACTAATTTACTTCATTCAAAGAAAATCCTCTCGTATCCATTTGCTTTCTTCGTTGAAAGATAATCTAGTTTTATTTTAAAATAATAGCTCACGGGTAACAGCTGACACTGGCTGACCAGTCCTTGGAACAAAAAAGGGTCGGGGACCGCTGGTATAGATAGTTATAGCTAGTATAGTAACTACTCCATCACAGACTAAAACATGTTTCTGCAATTGATTATTATTCATTCAAGCTACAAATATTGTTCATGTTGTTGTGTAATAAAAAAAAATAATAATTTCTTAGGTTAAGAAAATCTGCTGCATGGACTTTACTAAATGCTTTTTAAGCTCCCGCGGGCCACACAAAACAGCTTGGCGGGCCGCATTTGGCCCCCGGGGCCTTGAGTTTGACACATATGCCTTAGGCCAAATAAACTGGTTGTATCCACTTTCTCTGCTGGGCCCCACTTCGGTTCCTAAGAAATCATGTGCGAGCCAACTAGCATTGCCAACTGTGGTCAGTTGGCAGGAGTGACATCCTGTTTCATTTTTCACTGCCTTCAACCGATCCGTTTTTTTGTCAGTCTCCCGGTGAACATTTACAGCATTGGACAGTATTCTGTGTCACGTTTCAATCATTCAGTCCATCCGCGCCCCCCAGCTTTGAGAACCTCTGCACTAATCTGAAACCATACTGGGACAAGCATGTTCCTCAATGTCTTAAAACTGATTTTTGCGCTCTGCAAAACTCTTGCCTCCTGCTCTCCGCTAAACAAAGTGTTCCTTAAACGTAACGTACGTCCTAATGCACACACCGCTCTGTTAAACTGACAAAAAACCGAGTGTAGTCACTGCTGTAGCACATGTTTTATTAAAGCGCTCTTATCATATGGGAGAACATCTCACAGTAGGTCCTGCTCGCTGACATCGCTGACCTACTTAAATAAACCACCTAGGGGCGCCGCGAGACACCGAACGGGGGGGGGGGGGGGGGGGGGACGACACGTGACGTTTGCTGACCACACAACACCTCAAAAGCGTTGTTGAAAATGAATGAAAAAAAAAAAATTTCTTTAAAAGTCTCTTTAAAGGTTTTAATCAGTCTCCAGTGGTTTTACGTCAGTAAAGAACAACCTGAATCCCAGGGTTTGAAGTTAAGAGTCTTTGGAGATGATATCCACGTCCAAAGCTCTACAACACTGTATTATTAAAAAAAAAAAGTAAGTACTTTCAAACTTCTTCACCTGCCAGATGGCAAACAACAGACCTGGCTGTGTGGACAGTGTTGGAGACAAAAAGAGCAGCAGCGGCAGCGCTCGCCACGTACTTCTTCCTTAAAGTGTTTTTAAATAACGCTCCAGACCTTTTGAAAGAGAATTTCTCTTCACATTCGCCCACCCACAGATGTTAGCATCTATTAAGACGGTGGGCGGTGAACGAGCAGGTATTTATAGATAATCTTCCTCTGCTTGTCGCTCTCCTACTCCTCCTCCCCCTTTAGTTTCTCTTTTTCATCCTACAGACTAGTCCTGCCTACAGTGTCTGAATCCGGCCGACTCTGCCCTCAACACTGAATCAGACCGGATTAAAAAAAAAAAAGAGAGAGAGAGGAGAGTGCGATATTTTAGGACTCCCTTTCTCACTTCTAAATTCAATAGCTTATCATTTTCTGGGACTGTCAGAGTACTGTCAAAATGTAAAAATAAAAATGTGCAAAAATGTTTAAATCCTCCCCCGACCATAACACAATGCAAACAAAGATACATAATATGGAATTAGTTCGATGGTTATGTATAAATGTGCAGACATTTATTTGTATATGCTGATGGCTTGTAGCAGAGGTGGCACCAAGTCATTGCTTTGCAAGTCACAAGTAAGTCTCAAGTCTTTGGACCGCAATTGTAAACACGGAAAAATACCTACTAAATGGAAATAAAAATAAGTAAAAAAAAAAAAAGAAGTCATTTTGTATCGCTGTAAAATTTGTCAATTTTCACTATGGAATTTAGTTTGATGAGTGAACGTGCTTTCTGTGTTGCAGTCAAACTGAACTGACAATTAATTTTGACTAACTTTGACTTTTAACTAATGCTCTATAAAAATGTATTGTTTTTTTTAAAAGGGAAAAATGTGTTATTTTCAGTCACTAAAATCACTTGATTATGATAATAACAATAATAATCAATATTAGTTATTATAATTTATTATTTATTATTTATGATTTATTATTTATTATTTTTATTAAAACATAGTTTAGGTAAAATACCAAAAAGAAAATTATAATAATAATAATTTTAAAAAATATTAAAATTATTATTATTATTAAAATGATTATTATTATTAAAATGATTATTATTATTAATTTTTTTTAATTTTTTTTTTTATATACACAACTCTTTAGAAAACTGTTCCCTAGGTTACGGGTCTCACCTGTGCGTCCTCCCGCAGGTCTGCGGCCTCCTTCAGTGGACCACCGGCCACTTTGAAGGTCTCGTCCACCACCTTGATGCCCGTATTCCTCAGTGTGACGTAGCCCCTGCCCCGTCGTCCCACCCTCCTCACAGAGAGGCCCCGTCTGTGGGCCTTCCCACCTCCTCGACGGTTGGTGATCACTACATGGACAAACAGGCTGGCGTGGGGCAGGGGGTCACCTGATAGGCCCAACAGCGGCACGTTACGGTAGCCAGGCTGAAGGCACTCGAAGGCGACGCTGAACTGACCAATAAAATCGTCTCCGATGTAGTCATCATCAAGCACAACGAATCGCAGCAGGGCCAGCTCCGGCATGTTGACCTGGAGGTAGAGAGCCACACCAACATTTAGCCTCAGCTTGCAGTTGTTATTTTCAAATGTAAAAAAAAAAAAAACCTTGGTTGTCAAACACCTCCCACTTCGAAAAATTCGGTTTAAGAACAAATTGTTGTCGAACCATAACTCTAAGCTAAGGTTGGTAAAGGAGTGACTGTGACCTCCAAGCAAAGATCTCAGACGTTAGAAGAAGTGGAAACGTTTCTACTGGTTTGGATCAACGAAAAGCAGTTGGCCGGCGACAGTGTTCCGGAGACAATCATTTGTGAGAAAGCGAAGCGAACATTGCGCAATCGGCACCGGTAAGAATGAATGAAACTGCCTTTCCTATTTATAGCTTTATTCTTTATTCTATTGTGTTAGTCTTTTTTCGGTTAGATCTAATTATTTTCATTGGTTTCGTGTATGAACTTGTACACAAATCATCCGGGTCCAGGAACGGAGTCATCCATTTTACATTGATCCCGATGGGGAAAATTGTTTCAGTTTTCAAACTTTTCGGTTCACGAACGGGAACGAATTAAGGTCGAAAACCGAGGTTTCACTGTTACAGTTAATTTAATTCTATAGGTGTTGAAACCAATCAAACAAAAAATATTTAAAATATATTTAAAATGATGACAGTTTTTTTCTTAAAAACAATTTTGACTATATAGTATTTTACGTACAAACAAGCCATAAAACCAAATAACAACACATTTCTGCGATGATAAGTCTAATTATTTGTGATAAACCACCGTTTCAATACAGTTATCCATTGTACTAACACAACAAAGACATAACTACCACATTTCACCTACAGTTTAGTAGGTCTTTAATCTGTACTTTAATTACGGAAATTTAAGCTATGTTTTGAGATCGGGATTTCCTTTTTTTTTTTTTTAGTTATTTTTGCAGCTGCTAAAAGAAAACTGTGTTTTTTATTCAGTGTACAGTGTGCTCTATCGACCACAGGCTGTTTGAACATGTTTTCTGTCTGTTTACATCAGATCAAAGTCGGTCAGGAAAAACAGATCGATCCATGGGATTGATCCATTTTTGTAGCCACTGCTTAATTAAAATCCTGGCCCCGTCACCACACTCTTCAAAAACCAAAAACCAAAAAAAGACTAGGAGTATCATTTCAAATAAACACACAAGAACAGAACCTTCACCAAAATGTGGTTTTTAAAAACACACGTGGTTAACGACGTGACCACGGTGGACACATCAGTAGCGGCAGCCTGTCGTTGCAGCACCACCGAACTCTTACGGGACAGTTTCAGTAAAACGTCAGCCCTCATCAAATCCCATCTCCTGTAATGAATTCTGTCTGTACGGAGGTCTATTCGTGGAAGCACATAATTTAAATCTTCATCTCCCTCCAATTAACCACTCTGTGGGCTATTTCCACACAGGTGCAGAGTCATCAGCGGCTCGCCTCCGAAACCATCTCTTTTGTGCGGTCGACGTCGTCCCCTCCCTCTGCCTTATCCATATTCAATTCAGTGCACATTTAAAAGGCACGCTTTCCTTTTATGACAACAGTTGGTCTTGTGGGTGACTGGAGGATTTCTAACAAAGAAATGATCATAAATGAGCTGCAGGGATCATTTCTAGCAAAAATGTATGCAACTTAAATTTAGAAATGATCATAAATGAGCTGCAGGGACCATTTCTAGCAACAATGTATGCAACTTAGATTTTAAGAACCTACACTTGGTTTTTCTTTTGTCCTTCCGTAAAATGTTAAGCTACTTGTCAATACATGGCGTCCTCGTGTAACTTTTTGACTAGCGGGCCACAATGGGTTCTAAATTTGAAAAGGGAGGGCCGGGTCTGGAGCAGATAGATGGAGCGTTCGTATGAACTAAGATAAATGACATGTAAAAGTCATGCATAAAGGCTAAAATGCTCAAATGCTTTTATCATTTTTGACACCATTTAATGGGGAAAAGGCAGAAATATAATCATAATATATATTAATAATATCATTTGGACAAGTTTGGCGGGCCAGATTAAAAAGCCAAAAGGGCCACATCCGGCCCCCGGGCCTTAGTTTGCCCATGCCTGATATAGGACATAAAAGCATCAGAAGAGACTGACTTACACCTGGAGGCCATAATAAAGGGCAAAAAGTTCCCAAGAACTGTACCATACAAACTTTACATTTTTTTACTTTTTTTTTGTTCTGTGAATAATACAAAGAATGTACCTTTTTTTTTTGTTAAGTCAAACCATTAAGAGCTAGGTTTTACTTCAATGTTCTTTGTTGTTTTTTAAAAATATACATTTTATACAAGTTGGCAAAAAGATCCTGCTCTACCTCATTAAGATATAAAATGTATATTAATATCATTAAGATATAAAAAAAGATTTTTGTCAGCATATAAAATTTGACAACATAGTATTTCTCAGGGCCAGTTTAAGGAAAAACAAATCCTGCGCAGAAGTGCGATTTTCTCATCACAAAACTGTATCTGCAACATGAACATCTTCCCTGAAATGTGACTTTTGTCAAAATTATATTAAATATAATTTTATAAATACAAACATATAAATATTATTTTTTTTATATTTATAATACACAAATGTATTAAATATTAAATATTTAAATATAAATTATTAAAATTAAAATAACTAAAAATAATAAAAATAATAATTATAAAAAATTAAAATAATGCAATAATATAAATATATTAAATATTTTCTAATGAAATGTGAACATTGCTGGTACTGGAGCACTTTAACCATACAAATATTAACAATAATATTTAGGGATGATTCGATTCAACTTTTTCATGTCCGATACCAATACTGCAATTTGGAGTACTGCATCCGCCAATACTGATATCAGTCCCATACCTTGTTTTCTCCACCAGCATACCACACGCTGACGGGCTGAGAGATATCAATCCGATACCTTGTTTTCTCCACCAGTATACCGCACGCTGACGGGCTGAGGTGATAGTGTCCCGTTTCATGGCATGTTGTGCAAAGATAAGTTGAGCATTTGGGTTTATTTTAAGTATCGAATCGAAGTGTTTTTTCCGATGTTTGATTGAGGTACCTTAATGAAATCTAAACCATGTGAATGAAGCCAAAGTCTTACTTGGAACTCAAAGGTCTCATCGAAGAGCGGGTCATCCTGGTTCTGAGCTGCAGTGCGTGTCCGCTGTTCAGCGCAGTCCGCTGGGACGCCGTGCAATTCCAAAACTACATAGGGGTCAATGAACTCTCCTTTAGCCCCCGATCCCTGAGGCTTGGGCAGGTTGTGGGCACTAATAACCTTCGCATGAGACAGAAGTGGACTGGATTAGTTAGGGTTCGTCACCTGTCTACGTAAACAAGAACGACGCCTGTACCTTTATACGTAGCGTCTGCGGAGGAACTCCTGGGACACACCCCTGTGTGTGGGCGCTGAAATACGACACCTCATCCCTCATCACAGCCGGTCGAAGTACGTAACCGCTGCCTCCGTTCTGCAGGAAGCGACCTCGGTGGAGGTCCAACATTGCGCCAGGGGTCTGCTGGTTTAGGGCCACAAGCTGGACCCCTCCTTTCCAGTACCCTTGTGGATTAGGGTTGCTGGAGTCCAGGCGTACCGAGCTGGGCCGCACCCGGGTCAATGTGCGTTTGGTGAACATCACCAAGTCCTCTGGGCTCTCGCTTGTCAGGCGCCCGGCCTCTCCCTCGCCCAGAGAGCACAGCGTAAAGTACGGTGGCTCTGGAGGCACGGGTGTGCCGGGAGTGGAGGGACTGCCGGGGGGAGACTGCTGCTGTTTGTCCCGTGTCCTGTGGGCATAGAAGCTGCGGCTACCGGTGCGAGCTATCGCCACCAAGTCTGACAGATCTCGGTGGAGACGGAGCTTCCTGGGTTGAGAAGGCGGAGGCACCACTAGGACCACACCCAAATCCTCCTCACCCGGTATAGTCATTCGTCGTCCTGCCAAAGGTCCTCCTCCTCCAATCTCCTCATCCTCTTCGGAAACCTCCCCATCAGAACCTTGATGATCGGCGGGGAGCTTTTTGCCAACAATAACGACACGTCCCTTCAGCTGCTCCGGGGAGGGTAGAGCCGTTCCACGGCCCCCCAGGTTCACGGGCACATCCTCTGGTATGTAGAGTCGCGAGCCGAAAACCTTCTTCAGATGGTTTGCCATGGTCTGCTGCTGGGCCGGGGAGCAGCGGTGGCACAGGTAGATCAGCAGGGGGTACGGTGAGGTTAGAAAGGCGTACTTGTTAACCACCTCCAGTGCCGACCGAATGGTCACAGGTGCGCAGTGGTGATGGTGGTGGTGATGATGCTTGGGTACGTCTGAACCGTAGTCCACACCCAGAAGAGGTTCTCCCTCTGGGCCATCAGTAACTCCAAGCTCCAGGCAGCGGCAGCCGGACTGTAAGGATTTGATCAGGCCACCGAGGTCTGCTCTGCCATGTACTTGGTCATCCAGTAGGTAGGAGCGATACGATGTGCTGAAGGAAAAATACTTATTATATTCTAACATCCAGTCCGCTGACATAGCTGACGCTGATTTGTTATAAAAAATGTGCACTGGGTTTTGAGCGGCAACTACTTTGTCAGTGATTTGTACTAGTTATCCTCGTTAGGGTTGGAGGAAGATGGGGGAAGGGTGGAGAAGGGCCACATATAGAGACAAACAATCAAAGTTCACACTGAAACCTATCATCAGTTTAGCAAGAAAGCTAAGCTAATCCTGCTTGTTTTGGGGCTGCGGAGGGAATCCAGAACACTGAACATGAGACTGGGGATCTAACCAGCAAATTTGTTTTGGGGCTGCGGAGGGAATCCAGAGCACTGAACATACGGGAACAAACTGGATACAGGAGACTGGGGATCTAACCAGCAAATCTGCTCCATTCTTCCTTTAAGCTTACCGAATTTTAACACTATGTGGATAGACACTGGCTAAAAGTGAAGCCAACTTTCGGAAGTTTCAATTATTCATTGTTCCACTATAGGTTCACTGTACTGTCAGTGCCTGATCTCATGTGTCACAAACCAGTTTCATGATGTGCAAAAGGTGCCTACCTAAAATATTAGTTTATTTCTAATCCACTGCAGATTGTACATTCAACCTCTAACAGGGTTCAAATCCAAATTCTCAAACAATCAATCAAGATTAAGTCCATCCATCCATTTGCATCCGCTTATCAGTTACCGCCACCAAATCACACTGCCCCGTACCAACCCCCCTGACCCTTCCTGTGGGTGGTGAGTCCACTAGAAGGTAACCCTAACTCCTCTAACAGGGTTCAAATCCAAATTCTAACCCTAACCCTAACCGGGATTTGATCTTGCCCAGAAGATGAACCCTGGGGTTCCACACCAATGACCTCTGGGCCAAAGCGCCACTCAAGATTAAGTAAAGATTTTTAAAAATTCTAATAAAAGGTAACAGACCAGGACTACCGTACCTGATGTAGTAGTGAGAAAGAGGTAGGTTCATGTCCTGACAAACTCCATGGTGATCCGGGTCGAGCAGCTGGCACTCGGGCGACTGCAGGTAGCGGGCGAACCCGTCCAGACCGAGCAGCCCGCGCTCCTTACCCTGCTCGGAGGGCTCGTAGCGCCGCAGCAGCTCCCAGCATCCCTCGGTGGTTGCCAGAGACAGACCCTGCTCTGTTTCCAAGAAGAGTCGGAGGTCCTGAGGGTCCAGGCACTCCCGGTCCTTGGACAGCTGCACCAGGAGGAAGTAGACGTCAGGGCGGGTACAGAGCTCGCAATACGCCTCCTGGAACTCCTCCAGAGTCACATGGGAGGTCAGTTTCTCCTTGCTGCGCTGGATCTCCTTGAAGCGCAGACGTACCTAAGGGAAACACAGAACAATCGCATGAGATGATTAGTATTTTAATGAGTGGGAAGATATGTCAATCAATGAATATGTCACAGCAACACGTCATTCATTCAAAGTAGGTGGAGAATGTAATGAAACTCAACGGGCTTTCACAAGGATATTAAAGGGACTGCCATAAGACAACACAAAGAGAAATAATTTATCATCTCTCCTCACTCCTTTCTCCGCTTCATCTCTTTTTCTGGTTAGTTGCTTTATTGTCGCTTGCCTTGTTTTATCTGCACTGGTTCTGATAAAGGCTGTTATTCAGAGCTCAGTTCCACAGTTGGAAAAATTGTCAAATAAATCCTAGAACAGAACATCCATATGAACATATATGTATCAACAGCTAACAATTTTTTTCTTAATTTAACCTAAATGTTAAGAAAACGCCACAATAAACCAGTTGTAAAAAAATTGTTATGGTTTAAAAAAATGCTGTGAATTTTTTTTTTTTTTTTACACAAAATCTGAAAAATAACCTCACTAACTAACAGTGTAAAACAGAAATGACGAAAAAGCCCGAAGCATTTTCTTTCTCTCTCTTTTAATCGCAATGTCCTTAGTCATTAACAGGTTTTATTTATTTCTTTATTAACAACAAATTAGGGCTTCCAAGCAATTAATTTTTTTTCATGTCACTTAATACAGTGTAGCTGTGGATTAAGGATTTTAATTTTTTTTCATGTCACTTAATACAATGTAGCTGTGGATTAAGGATTTCATGACTAAACGAATTGAGATAAATACAGCTTTTTTTTTTAATATGACAAAAGAACATGAAAATTGCTGAAAGAATAAGATAACGGTAAGTGGCAAAAAATCCATTATGATGCAATTATTAATATGGAAAAATGTCAAGAAAAATATGTGAGAGTGTATTAGTTGCATCTTGACAGTGGCTTGTGAAACACATTGATTTTAAAACTTCCAACGGGTGACGAGGTTGTCCTCAACAATATAAATCAGTCTGCAGTCACTTGCAATCCATTTGACAACTGTCTCAGTCAGTTTGTCAGCCGTCGACTAATTTACTGCTCTGAGCTCTGTGAGTCTGGTCTGACACAAGGGCGTCTGACCTAAAGCTGACGCCTCCACAAACTCATACATACATATATATATATATATATATATATATACGTACATATATATATATATATATATATATATGTATATATATATGTATATATATATATCGGTTAAGGTGGTTGGCGTAAACCAGTAGTGTCAAACCTATCTTGGTTCAGGGTCCACGTACAGCCTGATTAGATGACAAGTGGGCCGGACCAGTACAATCATAACATGAAAAGTGTGTCTGGGCATAAAAAGTCCATGTTTTTCCCCTTTGTCTTAATGCAACTACGTGCAAATATATTGAAAAAATATTCATATCTAATAAAATATCATTTCAGAAAATATAATAAATATGACGTGTTTGCGTATTTTTCATTCATCAACCGGGCCGGAATGAACCCTCCAGTGGGCCAGTTTTGGTCCCGGGGCCGTATGTTTGACACCCTTGGCTTTAGCAAAAAGCCTTACCTGGAGTGTGTGTTTTGTAATGACAACTGTGAACTAGAGCAATGGTGAGTGGATGGGTGGTAGCATTATTAGATGTACAGTGCGCTTCATTCTGCGTATGCATTGAAATTCAAATTTAATTACAGTAATTTTGCAGTTTCTCTGTGTTGGATAATTTCTGAAGTTAATTGTGAATTGTGTCGATTTAAAAAAAGAAACAAACAAAAAAAAAAGATCACCTTTGCCTCTCTGGTACCAGGACACAGTTTACAGATCGTTGAAACGGCAACGTCTTCCGTCACGATGCCATGTCCGTCTTCGTCCACCAGGGCGAACTCTGTCGTCAGCCACTCGCACCTTATTTTACTGCCAAGACTCCCCTCGACAGCCACGCCCCCTCCTTCACATAGAACTCCACCTCCAAATCCACTGCTCCCACCTCCACCAATGGCAGAAGGGTGGGCCAGCAGATACCTGAGGCCCGTAACCCAGATGTTGGCCACATCAGCAGACAACGCCACCAGGTCCAGAGACTGTGGGGAAGAGGAGGTCATGGAGGTGTCACACATGATGGAGGGTTTTTAATAACTACACCAAAAACTGACATTGAGCATATTCAGCATATAAATTACTTCATGTACTTTCCAAATATTTTTATGTAATCACAACTATTTCTTTTACTATTAGGTACTTAATAATTCATTTTTAGCTTTATGTTGACTTAGGTAAGTTTATTTCCATCTCAAAACTACTTATAACTTTGTGTTTATTTTATGTGAGTGCAATAAATTCATCTTCTTGGTCTACGATTCTTGACCTTCAAGTCATTTCTGTGTACTTTCCAAATAGTGGGGTGGGCCCCCTGGGGGGGGGGGGGCAGTGGGG